GCGCTTTCCTGGCAAGCGCAAGGGCCTGAGTTCAATCCCTGGTTCTGCAAAAAAAAAAAAAAAATTCTTCCTAGTAAAGATGGCTTGTGAGCTGAGTCTTAAGAATAGAAGTGGGGTGGCAAAGGCACTTAAATGAAGGAGACAATGAAAGTATTTAACAGCATAGTAGGTAAACAAGCACTAATCCATCAAGTGGAAGCTGGCTAAGGCACTCACATGAGGTCTGGGCCCCTTCTGTTGCAGGCATTACTCCTTTGGCTGAGGGGTCATGAGGCCTCCAGAGTCCCAAGGGAAGAGCTGGGATAACGGAGCACTGGTGCCAGAGGTCAAGGCCCTATGCTGACAGGATTAGAAGTATTTCATCTTGACACAACCATAGTGCCAAGTGCCTACTCAATGTCCTTAAATACAGACATGAAATGGCTTTAGTCTCATGTGGTCTATCAAAGCCATGGAGGCCTTTTTAGAATGTGAGCTACAGAACGATAGAGTTTTCTATTCCATGCTGCATGCATCCTTAGGGCCTAGAGCAGTATCTGGAGGGTTGCAGGATGCTCAATGGAAGGTCTGTTTGATGTATGGACTGGGTCCTCCTGTCCCACTCTGGGCAGTATCTTCTCACTCTTCTGCCTCTCTTCCTCATCTAGTCTGCCCTGCCAGTCAATGTTCGTGTTAGTCCTACATACCACCAGACCCTGTGAAAACCAGACCCTGTCACTCTCCTGCTCAAAATATTTGATGTTTTTCCTTCCCACAATACCAATCTCATTGCTTTTACCAATTGGACCACAACTTCATCTTCAAAGTCCAGATTAAATTTTACCTAATTCTATAATAATCTGAGTCAGAATCTCTCTCCCCTAAACATATTTTGATAGTATTTGCTTTCACTCAATAGAATATAAAATCTGGGCTGATGAGATGGCTCAGTGGTCTAAAGCACCTACTTAGAACAAGCTTAGCAAAGCACAGGCGACTGCGGTTCAATCCCCCAGCACCACATGCCAGCCAGCCCTGCCCCCTGGTGGGCTGAGCTGGACACGCGCGTGCGCGCGCGCACACACACACACACACACACACACACACAAATAAATAAATAAAATTTAAAAAAAAGAAAAGAATATAAAAGGCAGGGACTGTCTTATTCATTTCCATACTCCTGGTCCAGCCTGACACACCATAGGTGCTAACTAGATACTGAATGCAAGAATGGATGGCCTTCCAAGCAATGAGAACTAGATTAGCAAAGGTGATGAAAAGTTTGGACAAAAAAATTGGTTGTGATTAGGGATGTAGCTTAGTGGCAGAACATTTGCCTAGAATGTATAAGTCCCTGTGTTTGACCATCAGCACCACCAAAAAAAGCCAGAAAGAGCCAGGTATGGTGGCATACCCCTGTAATCCCAGCACTCACACTCAGGAGGCTGAGACAGGAGGATCACTGAGAGTTCAAAGCCAGCCTGGGCTACAAAGTGAGTTTAAGGCCAGTGTGAACTGTATAGTGAAAAAAGAAAAAAGAAAAAAAAAAAAAGGAGGAATGGGGCTGGAGAGATGGCTCAGTGGTCTAAAGCACCTACTTAGAACAAGCTTAGCAAAGCATCAGGGACCGCGGTTCAATCCCCCAGCACCACATGCCAGCCAGCCCCGCCCCCTGGTGGGCTGAGCTGGCCACACACACCTCTCTCTCTCTCTCTCTCTCTCTCTCTCTCTCTCTCTCTCTCTCTCTCTCAAATAAATAAAAATTATAAAAAAAAAAAAAGGAGGAATGGTTTATCTGATGTGGTGGTTCATACCTGTAATCCCAACACTCAGGTGGCTGAGGCAGAATGATCACTGTGAGCTCAAGGCCAGCCTGGACTACATAGAGAGACCCTGTCTCCAGAAAGACAGAGAGAGAAAGAGACAGAGACAGAGACAGACAGACAGACAGAGACAGACAGACAGACAGACAGACAGAGACAGACACAGAGAGAGAAAGACTGAGATTTGACTGGACTAGAATATAAGGGAGGAGACAAAATGGAAAAGCCTTTTTTTTTCCCCCCAAAAGATAAGTCCAGGCTCTTCTGAAACTCAGAATTTTCCTAAGTCTGGAATTATATGTGTGTCCCATCGCACCCAGCTTTGGGTGAAGTTTTTGGGACCTGGAAATGAAAAGGAAAAAAATGGACAAATTTTAGTAAGCAGTGGGGACTCACCAAGGTTATTGAGCAAGGGAGTAAAAAGATGAAAAATATATAAATGTAGTTCAAATCCACACATATACTCAGTTTTCTGTTCATGCTAAAATTTGCCTCCTACCCATCATCTATCCACCCACCTACTCACCTACAGATTCCCCGTAGCCACTTGCCCTGCCCCTTTACCTGCTCCTTGGCTGAGCAAGGAGTAGGTAAAGAAGCTGCTTGGTCTCTGCCGGTAACACAGGGGCCCCTGCTCTCCTGTCTTTTCCCTTCCTTGCCTGGAACTGGGAAGCAGGCCAGTATTTGCTGAAGCTGGCTGGCAAGCAGCTGGGTGGTGCCAGGGAGAGCCTGTACAGTGCCAGGTGGTGCCCTGGGTTCCAAGCTGAGCCTGTAATTCTGATAACCTTGTGCCTGAGCACACACCTGCCCCTCACCCCACCCCACCCAGGGTTTTGATATCGGGGAGGGGGCACAGGGCCAGACCAACCAGCGGGACTTTGATTCCATGTCTCCAAAAGGGCACTCTGTGAGTCAGGCTCCCCTCAAGGCTTGCTCCTCCCCCACCCGGCTCCTGTTTCCAATGCTGCACGTACAGCCCGTACACACCGTGCCTTGGGACACCCCAGTCAGCAGCATGGCTTCCCTGTGCCCCAGCCAGGGGCTCCCTCTGTTGATTTCAGCCCCCGCTGTGCAACTGCTGCTCTTCCTGTTGCTCATTGTGCCTTCCCATCCCCAGAGCCTGTCCTGGATGCAGGAGGATCCCTCCATGGAAGGAGATTCATCCGGGCACAATGATCCACTGAGCAAGGAAGATCTGCCCAGTGAAGAGAATCCACCTGGAGGGGTGGATCCACCTGGGGAGGAGGCTCCAACCGAAGTTCATTCTAAGCCAGGAGAGGAGGAGGACTCTCTGAAGTTGGAGGATCTACCCACTCCGGCACTGGGGGCTACTCAAGGACACCAGAATAATGGTCACGGGGGCAAAAAAGGTAAGTGGTCAATCTAGGCCTCTGCTTCCCACACCCCTGACCAGGCAGCCTTTCAGGAAAGGAGCATGTGCAGAGCTGTAACTGTGGCCCTTCCAGGTGCCCCAAACCATTAGATCCTTCCCACCTTTCAGAGACAGGAGAAGAAAGAGAAGGAAAAGGAGGGGACAACTAGAATAGATGGGAAAGGGACATGAGAGAGAGAAAAGATGAAGACTATGGCGGTAGGGAGAAAAGGAGGGATGGAAAGAGAGAAATAGAGAAAGAGACAGACAGAAAGTTATAAGGGAAGAGAAGAAAACTCTGGGGAAGAATGTGGCTACCAGAGGAAGGGCAGGGAAAGCCTGCAGAGAGTGCCTCATCTTCAGTCTGCAGTGAAGAAATGGAGACAGCAGGAAAGAGTCAGCAGGCAGAGGACCCTGGCATTTTGACTTCCAAGCCAGGAACTTTGGGAAAGAAGTTGGACACTAGAAAAGGCAGAGATGAGTGGTGAGGAGGGATGAATAAGGGAGAAAGGAAAGCTGGTCTATGGATTTTGGGGACTGAGACCCCCACTCATTCCGCAGAGCCTAGGGCAGTGCTGCCCACGGGCCTGTCTGGGGCCAGCAGAGCTGTAGGCTGCCCAGCTGTGGCCCAGCTGTGGCGTTCTGTTTGCTTGTAGAGCACCGCGCTTTGCACCTGGGCCGCTGCAGGCATTTCAGTTACCTACTGGACCGCTGCAGGCATTTCAGCTACGCCCCAGTAAAACATCTGAGTTTATGAGACCCTGTGTGTGTGTGTGTGTGTGTGTGTGTGTGTGTGTGTGTGTGTGACAGGATCTCTCCCTCTGTGTCTGTCTTTCTCTGTCTCTGTGTCTCTATCTTTGTCTTTGTCTGTCTATGTGTCTATCTCTGTGTCTGTCTGTCTGTCTATCTCCTTCCCCCCAGCCGCCACCACCACACACACACATACATACACACTGGAAGGGACCAGGCTCTAAGACTGAACTGTTCATCTTTCTCATGCAGCGGAAGACCACAACCATTGGCGCTACGGAGGTGAGATACCCAGGCCCTGGGCACACCCAAAGCGACCCACAGCCGTGCCCAGCGCGGACCTTGGGCGCTCCCTCCCAGCACCGCCGCTCCCATCCCTGCCCATATCCCTGATTTCTAGTTCCCGCTCTGAAGCCTCCTGGCTCCACCTCCCCCTTAAAAAAAAAAAAAAAAAAAAACCACACACACACACACACACACACACACACACACACACACCTTTTATGTGTTTCCTAAAAGCTCCATACCTCATCCGACTTCTTTACCACACACCCCCACCCTAGGCAACCCGCCCTGGCCACAGGTGTCCCCGGCCTGCGCGGGCCGCTTCCAGTCCCCAGTGGACATTCGCCCCGGGCTCACCGCCTTCCGACAGGCCCTTGGGCCACTCCAGCTGCAAGGCTTTGAACTTCAGCCTCTCCCAGAGCTGCGCCTGCGCAATAATGGTCACACTGGTGAGAGGGCTGCGAGGAGACGGTCTGGGATGCGGAGCGGGCAGCCTCCGCGGCGCACCGGGTGAGCCGGGTGCGGACAGGGTCGAGCGGGATCTGCTCACGATCCGCTCCCCACGTAGTGCAGCTGACTCTGCCACCTGGCCTAGAGATGGCGCTGGGTCCCGGCCGCGAGTACCGAGCCCAGCAGCTGCATCTGCACTGGGGCTCCTCTGATCGCCCAGGCTCAGAGCACACTGTCAACGGCCACCGTTTTCCTGCGGAGGTGAGCTCCCAGCGTTCCCAGGAGGCCAGAGGGCTGTAGCCTGAGATGAGGCCCTGCTCTGACCCTCATGACCTCTCCAGATCCACGTGGTTCACTTGAGCACAGCGTTCTCGAAAGTTCAGGAGGCCTTGGGGCGCCCAGGAGGCCTTGCTGTGTTGGCTGCCTTTCTGCAGGTATCTAGCCCAAACACCCCCATTCCCTGTTTCCCCTGAGGATTCTGTGTAACATTGGACCATAAAAGGAATTCAGAAGCTGAGGGTCCCTGCTTCTAAGGGAAGCTGGCATGATAGGTAGAAGGATGCAGTAAAAATGGTAGTCACAGAACCGGTGAGACAGAACAGCACAAGGACTCAGAATAGGGCCCATCTAGAGAATAGCAGATTCCTAAATCTGACATCGTGCGGAATAACTTCTGAGTTACTCCTGTGACCCATTATTTCTCCTTCTTGTGATGCAGTAATGGATTAGATACTTACTAGGCTTATTCACTAGTTTCAAACTGACAGCAAAAAAGTTCAGAGAGGGCCTGGGGAGATAGCTCAGAGGGATAAGTGCCTTCCTGGAAAGCGATAGGTCCTGAGTTTGATTCTCAGTACCACCCACCCAGAAAAAAAAAAAAAAAAAAAGTTCAGAGAAGCGCCTCAGAAATATGTCAGGACCAAGATCCAAAGTCAAACCCATGCACCTTGGTGGTGCATGCCTGTAATCCCAACATTGGCAAGGTCAAGGCAGGAGTAACTGAGTTCAAGGCCAGCTTGAGCTATAAAGTAAGTTCAAAGCCAGTCTGAGCCACATAATGAAACCCAGCCTCAAAAACAAAACAAAGGGGCCAAGGAGACAGCTCAATAGAATAAGCACTTGCCTAGCAATCTCAGGATCCTGACTTCAATTTCCAGTACCGCAAAAATAAAATAAAACCTATGAGTTTAAATGCAGAAGCAACACAAATGTTCATATGTTATATTATGGTTTTTTGTGGTGGTACCATAGTATCACTGACAGAATATAAAAGCTAAAAGGAGCAGATCATTGAGGGCTTAGTATCCACTCAAGTTGTTCCTCTTCCTCCTTGTCTAATTCATCCTCCAAATTTTTCCATCAAAAACCAGTCTATCAAGCTTGTTAGTTTACAAAGCAAAGAGTAACAAGAGTGGTAGACTTTGAGTAGTAAAGAGTTTATGTTCCTCCAGCATTTTCGGAGGTGAGGCATGGAGGAGGATTATGGAACAGCCACCCTGCGTGCAGGCCTCCACTTGGGGGCCCAGGCACCAGTCTGTCTGGCATTGTCATCTCCTTCCCCCTTCCCAGGAGGGCCCAGAAGAAAACAGCGCCTATGAACAGTTGCTGTCACGGTTGGAAGAGATCACAGAAGAAGGTCAGTTTTTTGTCGGGCTAGCCACTGTCTTCTGTTCCAGTGGTGGTGAACCCACGGTACATGTGTTATTTTCTTTTAGGACTAAAAGTATTAATGCAGAGTTGTTTTTTCTAAACTCAAATGTCAGTATTTGGGCTTAATTGCAATATTGGTATTTTGTGATTTGTAAGTGGGTTTTGGGTTGCAGCTTGGCACTTGGTCTCCCCAGGGCTTGCCATCCCTGTTCTGTGCCCCAGTGCCCAAGATCTGCCCCTGAGAGCCTGGGGCTCAGGGTGGAGGCGGAAGTGAGTGGAGGTGACAACTGGCTCTGAGGTTGAAATCTGTGGACTACAGACCAACATACAGGGGCTCACCACAGCCTACAGCCTTGATGGTTAAAAACTAAACAGAAAACAAAATTAGAACACCACCACCACTGCCACTGCCACCACCACCAACACACACACACACACACACACACACACACACACACACACCAAAAATGGTGAAATGGTGCCTGGAACTTCTGGCATTGAGTGTGTCATGCTTAACTTTTTCTTTTCTTTTTTAAAGCTCAAATTTTTCTGAGAGTTATATCTTATTCATAAACATCAGTATGTTTTATATAGATTACAACACATACTATGAATTATCTATATTTTAGTTTATTTCATAAGAGCTTTTTTTTTAATTTTAGCGTCAGTATTTTATTTATTTTTTGGTGGAACCGGGGATTGAACTCAGGCCCTTGCACTTGCCAGGGAAGCGCTTATTCCACTAAGCCATCGCCCCAGCATCAGTATTTTAAATT